CAGCTGCACCACAAGACCCAGCTCCCGCCTCCACCCGACCTCGGTCTCTATCTGCTTTTGGAAAACGGGAGTATGACTTACCGAGAGGAAATCGTAAGTTTTCTCTCCAAAAAGCCTGTTGGCGGTTCTGAGCAAGTACTGTGTGCCGGGCCTGTTAACTTCGCTGAGAAGTTTCTGAAAACCCTGGTGGACATCTTCACCTCCGCCGCTGCTCATGCTTCGTGAAAGGGTCTGATCAAAAACACATAAAAACCCACAACTGCAGTACGCCCTGACTACAGGTAATGAACACCACACTGAAGTCAGCCTAGGAACCGCACTGATCCTCCCCATAGCTTAAAGCAAGACTCACCCAAATAAAGGCACAAGGCCTCTGGGAGCCCCCCAGCCTGCCTCCCCGAGGGGTCAGACAGTGACGTCGGGCACAGGAATGCCCCTCAGCGAGCCCAGTGCCCTGCGCTCCCAGTCTGCCTGCAGACAGGGCCGGCAGACAGGCCTCCCGTCTCTGCACAAACACGTCACAGTTTCGGGTCTGGACTGCCATCGGATCAGGCTCAACCAGTGGGACACAGGAGAAGTAGCTCTTCCGGGACCGGGCCTTCGTAAAGGCCTGGTAACTCCACGTTCACTGTCTTGCCCCTTTGCCAGGGTGCAGAGATGCCCAGCCTTCCTGCTGGGTCCTCGTGACAGTGTGGTACAGCGGTCACACAGAGGAGAGCTCCTCGCGGGATCAGGGCTGCTCCTGGATCGCAGGAGCCCAGTGGGAACTGTGTGGCCAGGACGCAGAGTCTCAGGCCCGGTCCCGGTCATTCCTGGTCGTTGGGGATTGACGGGAGCCACAGCGAAGGTCCAGACAACCCATCGGCCTGATTCCGCCACAACTCGAAACTAAGCCGGGCGCGTGCTTTTGCACCCAGCTCCCAGCCAAGGTCAGAGGTCCGGGGGGCACCACTGCTCAATGAGAGGAGCTTGGGCAGGAGCCCTGGAGAGATGCCCGTCCAGGGTCGGAAGACTGGCCCTTCCCCCAGAATCAGAATCTACACAGGAGGTGCCCAGACAGATGGCAGCCCCTTCAGAGCCTGGGAGAGCGGGAGGGGAGTCAGTGACGAGCACCAGAGGGGACTGCTCCCTTTCAGGCAGAACTTAAAGGGAACACGTGCGTCTCCTGGTGGCGCAGGGTAAAGGATCCACCTGCTGGTGCAGGAGACTCAAGACTCGCGGGTTCGATCCCAGGGCTGGGAAGATCCCCTGGAGGAAGACGTGCCAACCCTCACCAGTGTTCTCTGTGGAGAATCCCATGGACAGAGGCGCCTGGAGGGCTAGAGTCCACGGGTCACAAAGCGCCGGACACGACTGAGCGTGAGCACCCCGTGTTTGCGTCCTGACACTTGCTGGGTGCAGAGTGCAAATGCTTCTCACTCCCAGCCTCTCCAGCTGGCAGACGACCCTGAAAATGATGGCCTTAGGGCAGAGGTCAAACTCAAGGCCCAGGCTCAAGGAGGGAGATCAGGACTCTGGTAAACCTGGAGACCCTCTGGACCCCAGGCCCGGGAAGGGGTAAGGGCACCCCATCTGCGGGAGGGCTGTGACCCCCACGGGGACAGAGGTCAGCGCCCCGCCGCCACTGTGGCCCAGGAGCTGACGTCCACACCCTGTGCAGCCCGCCCGGGCCTGGCTCTGGGCGTCTTGGAAGGACGGGCCTTGGCCAGCAGGGCCTTGGGCAGTGGGTCTGAGCAGAGGCTTAATGAACGCTTGCTCATTCAAGCCTGTCCTGCTGGAATTGGGTGCTGCACAGTCAGGAGCCCCAGGCCACCAGCCAGACAGACACTGGACGGTAGGCCCAGGGACGGGGCAGATGGGGAGCGAGGCCTGTCTGTCGAGCAAGGTCTCTGCGATTCGGATGGCGGACACCGGCTCACCGGCCAAAGAAACAGCGTCTGTCGCCACCCAGAACCCGCTTCCCGAACGTACCTGGGACATCTGGGCTGCGGTATTGCCCCTGGCCCCCACGAGGACCATGGCCAGAGCAGAGGAGATGCTTAGCGGCGAGAGAAACACATTTTTCGAGTTGTCTTCACCCAGCTTTTTCAGAAGGGTCAAGGCAAAGGTGCCGTTTGCTTCTGACAGCGCATCCATGGTGGTGAGTCTGAAAGGAAGGATTTAAAACCAGTGTCATGTAAATGCAAGCCACAGGTCGACCGCATCTCACATGCTCTGTTGTGAGCACTGACGCTCTGCTTCGACGAGCAAACAGGTACACGCTCAAAACTCGGTGTCCTCGGGGTTTCCCCTGCTGACCCTGCCCAGGCCCTGTCACCCGATCGGGACAAGGGCCTTGGGACGCACCCACGTCCACCTGCAGGTCCCAGCCTCGGAGGTCACAGCCCCGCCACGGAGGGCGTCTGGTCCAGAACAGGACACTGTGGGGAGGGGCGGGGGTGCGCGAGCGTTCAGGGCCTTTCTGTGTGTGGTGGGAAGGGATGAGAGCTGAGAGACCCCAGCTCTTAACCAGAAACCAGTGTCCGTGATAGACACCGACCTGGGAAAAGGGAGCAGGTGAGCCGAAGAAAGGGCCCGAAGCCGCAGGGCGTGCAGGCTGGCAGCCCCGCTCCGGGCCCTGCGTCAGCTCCCTGCATGAGGACGGGGACGCACCAGGTAATCTGTGCTCCTGATGGGGTGCAAGGCAGCTCACCCCAAACACTCCACTGTAGCACAGTGATTGCTCTGAATTAAGGAGACTTCAGAAACAGCTGTTGCAAAAAGCATCTCTGCCCTTCTTCTGTTCCCCCTGAAAGCTGAAAATAAATCTCCATGTGCAAATACCCTCCCTGTACCAGGAGGTAGAGACATCTTTACATCCAAAGAGGGGAACGCAAGGCTGAAAAAGCTGTACAAGAAACCAGCAAACTGTGTTACTTCCCGAAACTGATACCAAAGCAAAAACCCCCTTGATTTGTCTAATCTTCACACACAAAGCCGCCCGCCTTGTCACCTCCTGAGTCTTGTATTTTCGAGGTTCCCATACTCACAAAATTCAGTGGGGTTGGTTTTCTGCTATTGATTTGTCTTAGGTCAATTTAATTACTAGACCAGCCAGGAAGAAAGTAGAGGAGAGGAAACTCTCCCTCCACACATATTCTCTTCCATCGTTATATCCAATTTGTTGGTTAGTAGCTAAATCGTGTCCGACTCTTCTGTGATTCCATGAACTATAGCCTTCTGGCCCCTCTGTCTCTGGATTTACCAGGCAAGAATACTGGAGTGGGTTGCCATTCCTTCTCCAAGGGGGTCTTTCCGACCCAGGGATTGAACCCGAGGCCCCTGCATTGCAGAAGGATTCTTTCCACTGAGCTGCCAGGGCAGGCAGTAATACCCAATACCTTAACAGTAGTACAGAAAAAAGCAGTTCACTCGTCTTCAAAGGCCACAGCGAGGCCGGTAATAGTTCTTTTTCTCCACTGACAACAGTTCCTGATGGTCATTAAAGGTGAGAGCATGCCCACTCCCTGTAAAATCGCTAAACTGAACAGGAAGGAAAGAAGCAGTGAGGCCCAGAGGTTTATTCAGGATACTCTGATGGCAGGAAATACATCAATCATGAGATAAGTGACCAACCCACGCTGATAAAGGCCGGGAAGTCAAACACGAAGCGATGCTTCGTGCACCCCCCGGGGCACTGAGACAGAACACCAGAGGCAGGACCTCGGGAGGGTCCTGGCACCCAGGGCAGTTGTGAACTGCTCTGATAGTTCAGTCCCTGCAGACTCAACTCAGGAACAATGCAAAGCAAAGTTATCAGAAACAACACAAAGTGAGCATAATTAGCAAACTATCTGATGGCTGACTTGCAGATCAGCCAGAATCAAGGAAGCAGTCTTAAAACTGGGAAAAGAATGGGTGAAATGGGCTCCAGAAGAGCTGATTTAAAAAGCAGCTTATTCTGCTGGGCTCCCCGCAGCAGACTGAGAGCTGATCACCAGGTCATGACTCTGCAGTCCACCCTTCATCACTATGGCAGCGCCCCCTCTCCCCAAAAAAGACACACACAGAGAGATGGGTGGAGAGCAAACTAAAGACATCCTTTTTAAAACAGAACCTTTAAAAGTTCAAGAAGCATTCATTTCCCATACTGACAAAGTAAGATAGGAATTTCTTCTCACACTGTGCAAATGATGCTCTGAAGTGGTACCCCCGAATTTCCAGTGTAATTAAGAACTGCTGTTTAGTCACCAATTCATGTCCCATTCTTTTATGACCCCGTGGGCTATAGCCTGCCAGGCTCCTCTGTCCATGGGATTCTCCAGGAATAATATTGCAGTGGGTTGCCATGTCCTCCAGGGGATTCTCCTAACCCAGGGTTCAAACCCATGTCTTTTATGTCTCCTGCATGGCAGGCGGGTTCTTCACCACTAGCGCCACTAGGTAAGCCCCCGTGCTGGATTAAAGGTGCCTTAATTCCCCATAGATCTGGTTTCCTGGAGACGTGGCTCCTGTGTTGTCCCCGCTTGGTCTGTGTGTGTGTGTGCGCGCGTGTATGTGTGTGTGTGTGTGTGTGTGTGTGACTCAGTCGTGTCCGACTCTTTCAACCCCATGGACATACAGTCCATGGAATTCTCCAGGCCAGAATACTGGAGTGGGTAGCCTTTCCCTTCTCCAGGGGATCTTCCCAACCCAGGGATCGAACCCAGATCTCCCGCATTGCAGGCGGATTCTTTACCAGCTGAGCCACAAGGAAACCCAAGAATCCTGCAGTGGGTAGTCTATCCATTCTCCAAGGGATCTTGTTTTAAAGCATCTCTGGTGATAAAGTAATCTCAACGCGTTACCCCTAGGCTGCTCACACGCGGCCTGGAGACGGGTCGCCAGGCGAAGCGCTCACCCCCGGCCCCCACCTTCCTCACAGGCAGGTGCACTCCGAGGCGTCGGGGTTGCCCTGCCTCTCCCGGGCCGTGCGGCTCCCACGCTCATCGCAGCGCGCTGCGCACGGTCCGCTCTGGACACCCGCCCTCTCCTCGCTGGCCCCATGTGCTCCCCTCTTCGCGGTTTCCTCCCTCCTTTGGGGAAGCGAAGGGTCCAAGGATGTTCTGACAGAACGTGCAAATCCTGACTTTCAGGATCACTGGGCACGTCTTTATTCCAGCCTCCCTTGCAATGCACGGTGCAGCAGTGTCTGGAATAGTCCGCAGGTCACTGTGTGTCTGGACTGGACCTCAGAGGCACTGCCTTGTGGCTTCCCAGCCAGAAGTCTGGGGACACAGTACCCCAGTCCCTCTCCCCGCCCCCTCCCCAGTAGGCGGAAGTGCATGACCTCTGAACTCTATCCCTGATAGACTCAATGTCACATCGCTGTGTCTGTCCCCAGATGGGCGGGCTTTATTCATTTGGTTGCGCGCTTGGTGGGCCCCTTCAACCTGGCTTCCCTCATGGCACAGACGGTAAACAATCTGCCTGCAACACGGGAGACCTGGGTTCGATTCCTGGGTCAGGAAGATCCCTTGGAGTAGGACATGACAACCCCCTCAAGTATTCTTGCCAATCCTTCTGCAATGCAGGGGCCTCGGGTTCAATCCCTGGGTCGGAAAGACCCCCTTGGAGAAGGAATGGCAACCCACTCCAGTATTCTTGCCTGGAAAATCCATGGTCAGAGGGGCCAGGTAGGCTGTTTTTCATGGAGTGACAATAGAATCAGACAGGACTTATCTACTAATCAAGTTGGATGTTAAAGATGGAAGAGAATGTGTGTGGGGAGTGTTTCCTCTCCTCTGCGATCTTCCTGGCTGGTCTAGTAAATAAATTGACCTAAGACAAATCAATAGCCGAAAACGAACCCCACCGAATTTTGTTCATATGGTAACCTCAGAGATATAAGACTCAAGAAAGGACAAGGCAGTTGGCTTTCTGTGTGTGTGAAGATTTGACAAACTAAGGGGGTTTTGCTTGGGTAGCAATTTCATGAAGTGACAGGGTTTGCTGGTTTCTTGTTCAGCCTTTTCAGCCTTGAGTTCCCCTCTTTGGATGTAAAGATGTCTCTACCTCCTGGTACAGGGAGGGTATTTGCACATGGAGATTTATTTTCAGCTTTCAGGGGAAACAGAAGAAGGGCAGAGATGCTTTTTGCAACAGCTGTTTCTGAAGTCTCCTTAATTCAGAGCAATCACTGTGCTACAGTGGAGTGTTTTGGGGTGAGCTGCCCTGCACCCCACCAGGAACACAGATTACCTGGTGCGTCCCCATCCTCATACATGGAGCTGATGCAAGGCCCGGAGCAGGGCTGCCAGCCTGCATTCCCTGCAGTTTCAGGCCGTTTCTTCGGCTCACCTGCTCTCTATTTCCTAGGTCAGTGTCTATCACGGACGCAGCTTTCTGGTTAAGAGCTGGGGTCTCTCATCTCTCATCCCTTCCCACCACACACAGAAAGGCCCTGAACGCTCGCGCACCCTCGCCCCTCCCCACAGTGTCCTGTTCTGGACCAGACGCCCTCCGTGGCGGGGCTGTGACCTCCGAGGCTGGGACCTGCAGGTGGACGTGGGTGCGTCCCAAGGCCCTTGTCACGATCGGGTGACAGGGCCTGGGCAGGGTCAGCAGGGGAAACCCCGAGGACACCGAGTTTTGAGCGTGTACCTGTTTCCTCGTCAAAGCAGAGCGTCAGTGCTCACAGCAGTTAACAGCAGATGAGACGCGGTCGACCTGTGGCCTGAATTTATGTGACACTGGTTTTAAATCCATCCTTTCAGACTCGCCACCATGGATGCACTGTCAGAAGCAAACGGCACCTTTGCCTTGACGCTTCTGAAAAAGCTGGGTGAAGACAACTCGAGAAATGTGTTTTTCTCGCCGCTAAGCATCTCCTCTGCCCTGGCCATGGTCCTCACGGGGGCCAGGGGCAACACCGCAGCCCAGATGTCCCAGGTACGTTCGGGAAGCCAGTTCTGGGTGGCGACAGACGCTGTTTCTTTGGCCGGTGAGCCGGTGTCCGCGATCCGAATCCCAGAGACCTTGCTCGACAGACAGGCCTCACTCTCCATCTGCCCCGTCCCTGGGCCTGCTGTCCAGTGTCTCTCTGGCTGGTGGCCTGGGGCTCCTGACTGCGCGGCACCCGATTCCAGCAGGACAGGCTTGAATGAGCAAGCATTCATCGACCCTCTGCTTGGACCCGCTGCCTAAGGCCCTGCTGGCCAAGGCCCGTCCTGCCGAGAGGCCCAGAGCCAGCCCCGGGCGGGCTGCACAGGGTGTGGACGTTAGCTCCTGGGCCACAGTGGCGGTGGGGTGCTGACCTCTGTCCCCATGGGGGTCACAGCCCTCCCTCATTGGGGTGCCCTTACCCCTCCCAGGGCCTGGGGTCCAGAGGGTCCAGGTTTAACAGAGTCCTCATCCCTCCCCTTGAGCCTGGGCCTTGAGTTTGACCTCTGCCCTAAGGCCATCACTTTCAGGGTCGTCTGCCAGCTGGAGAGGCTGGGAGTGAGAAGCATTTGCACTCTGCACCCAGCAAGTGTCAGGGCGCAAACACGGGGTGCTCACGCTCAGTCGTGTCCGGCGCTTTGTGACCCGTGGACTCTAGCCCTCCAGGCGCCTCTGTCCATGGGATTCTCCACAGAGAACACTGGTGTGGGTTGGCATGTCCTCCTCCAGGGGATCTTCCAGGCCCAGGGATCGAACTGGCGAGTCTTGAGTCTCCTGCACCAGCAGGTGGATCCTTTACCCTGCGCCACCAGGAGACGCACGTGTTCCCTTTAAGTTCTGCCTGAAAGGGAGCAGTCCCCTCTGGTGCTCGTCACTGACTCCCCTCCCGCTCTCCCAGGCTCTGAAGGGGCTGCCGTCTCTCTGGGCACCTCCTGTGCAGGTTCTGATTCCGGGGGGAGGGCCGGGCTTCCCGCCCTGGACGGGCGTCTCTCCAGGGCTCCCGCCCGAGCTCCTCTCCTCAAGCAGTGGTGTCCCCGGCCCTCTGGCCTCAGCTGTCTGGACTTTCTCTGTTTCTCCCGGCAAATCTCCCATGACCAGAAATGACCGGGACCGGGCCTCAGACTCTGCGTCCTGGCCGCACAGTGCCGGCTGGGCTCCTTGAGATCCAGGGGCGGCCCTGTTCCCGTGAGGAGCTCTCCTCTGTGTGACCGCTCTCCTGCATTGTCACGAGGCCCCAGCAGGATGGCTTGGCGTTTCTGCACCCTGGCAACAGGGGAAAGACAGGGAACGTGGAGTTGCCAGGCCTTTATGAAGGCCCGGGCCCAGAAGAGCCACTTCTCCTGTGTCCCACTGGTCAGAGCCCGTCCCGACGCCAGTCCAGACCCGAAGCCATGGCCTGTTTGTGCAGAGACGGGAGGCCTGTCCACCGGCCCTGTCTGCAGGCAGACCACGAGCGCAGGGCACTGGGCTCGCCGAGGGGCACTTCTGCGCCTGCCGTCACTGTCTGCTCCCACGGGAGGCAGGCTGGGGGGCTTCCAGAGGCCTTGTGCCTTTATTTGGGTGAGTCTTGCTTTAAGCTTTGGGGAGGGTCAGTGCGGTTCCGAGGCTGACTTCAGTGTGGTGTTCATTTCCTGTAGTCAGGGCGTCCTGCAGTTGTGAGTTTTTATCTGTTTTTGATTTCAGACGCTCTGTCTAAGCACAAGCAGCGGCGGAGGTGAAGATGTCCACCAGGGTTTTCAGAAGCTTCTCAGCGAAGTTATCAGGCCCGGCACACAGTACTTGCTCAGAACCGCCAACAGGCTCTTTGGAGAGAAGACTTACGATTTCCTCTCAGTAAGTCATGCTCCCGTTTTCCAAAGCAGATAGAGACCGAGGTCGGGTGGAGGCGGGAGCTGGGTCTTGTGGTGTAGCTGTGGCCCTATGGGCTGAGACCCACACGGTGGGCGGGGTGTGGGACTCCAGTCATGACCTCACGCTTCCTGGTCATTGCCTGTAAGAGGAGGCATTGTTCACATGTGACAGCATTGTTCACATGTTCGTGAAGCTTCCATGAGATGATTGTCAGAGAACTAACACGGATCATACCACAGTTGCAGATGAGTTTGCCCAACAAAGAAGTGATCAAATAGAATGTTTCTGATGTTGTTTTTCACATGTTAGAAGTTTTCTGTGCATTGTGAGGCTTGTTCAATATTTTTATACATGTAAATATTTTTATTATCTTTTCCTATGCAGAATATTTTTTAAAGTTTTTGTATTTTTTACTATTTAATTAGTAAAAAATTAATTCTATTTAATTACAGTGCTTTTCTTGATTCTTTAAAATTTTTTAATAAACAGCTCACTAATCTGTGAGTGTGTCCTTATTATATAAAAATGCAGAGAAAGCCACAGTCCTCCCAAACTCTCTTCACGCCTTGGCCCCCACTCCTGGTATAAGGGCTTGTCCCCTGTGCATAGAGGAAGTCTCTGCATCTCACGACATGTGTGCCTGTTGCTGTTCCATTGCTGAGCCGTGTCCGACTCTTTCTGACCCCGTGGACCTCAGCAGGCTAGGCTCCTCTGTCCTTTACTGTGTCCCAGAGTTTGCTCAGACTCACGTCCATTGAGTCGGTGATGCCACCCAACCATCTCGTCCTCTGTCGTCCCCGTCTCCTTTTGTCTTCATCTTTCCCAGCATCAGGGTCTTTTCCAATGCGTCGGCTCTTGGCATCAGGTGGCCAGTGTGGGAGCGTCAGCCTCACCAACAGCGTGTGTCCGCCTCACCCTTTCCCACGGTGCTGGGCAGCGTCCTCAGTGGTGGCTGTACTGGGATGCAGCCGCCAGCCCCTGGGTGGGCGTGGGCGTGGGCGTGGGGTGGGGCCCAGCCCGGGCTGAGTCAGCAGGGACCATGTGTGTGTGTGTGGTTCTGTCCTGTGCGTGCCTGCTACTCGAGAAGGACTTTAGAAGGAAGGGACAGAGGGAGGCTCTCAGATCTCAGTGAATTCTGCCTCATTCCCGCCCCGACGGCTGCAGCCCTTCCCGTCGTCCTCGGGAAGGGTAGCAGGTGCGCACGTCTACCCTCTCCTCAGCGCTGCGGGTGCTGAGCCTTTAACATTCTGATTCTTCATCAGACTGGTCAGCTTTTCATGTTGATAAAGCGTTTGTATCTTTTCTGAAAACTGCCTGTTTATATGTGCTTTGTGTAGTTTTACTTTTGGGCTTTATCTCTTTATTTTTAGTGAGTTTTTTGTATGTTTAGGATAGTGATCTTGTTCTGTTATGTGATTTTTTTTTCATTATTTTTCACACTTGTTTCATATCTAAATTAACTGTTTTAAAACAGGTGGTGTAAAGTGAATGTCATCAGCATGAGGTCAAATATCTGTAAGGCTTTGCAGCACAGTGTGTGTTTTTCTTACAACCTGGTTTACTTGCGTTTATGTGTCTTAGCTTCCTGCTAATTTATTGTCATCTTTATATAAGCCTTAGATATACAGAAAAGCAAAACTTCCAATAAACACAAGGAATTTCCTTAACGTTCGTTCTTCCTGGTGAATTTTGGAAGAAAAGCATTGATATTTAAAATGCTATTTTGATATGGAGTATAAAATCAAAAGATGAGAAATATTTTTCAGTTATTTCACAGTGATCGAGGATTCCAACAATCCAATACCAATCGCAATGCATAGTTAGATGTTCCTTTAGTTTGCTTTTTCACTGGTCATTACTTCCTAAGCAGTAATTTAAGAAGCAGGCACTTGTTTTCAGATGTGCTTTAAAGCTGTTGGAATCACCAAGGGTCTGATGAGGTATCGACTTGTAGGTGACCACTTTGCTTCCTGACTATTTCCTTAGACTGAGAGACTGCCATCTTTTTCCAAAGCCCCGATTAAGAAGTGGAGTAGTAGGCTGGCAGAGCCTGACTGATGTGAGCGTTCTATGAAATGAGGTACCTGGACCATGAGATAGAGGGTCCACGGTGTGTGGAGAGCTCAGCCACGTGACACGGACAGAGCCAGGTTCTCTGGTCCTCAGAGCACCTCTGAGACGTAGCTCCTGCTGCGTCCGTGCTTCCAGGGGGCAAGCAAGCCAGAGAGACGCAGCAACCTTCCCAGGGTCACACAGGGGTGAAGCCCGGAAACTGTGCTTCCGGCACTGTTGCCACATAGCCTCTCTTGAATGGTTGTGTTGTTTAGTCGTTAAGTTGTGTCTGACTCTTTACAACCCCATGGACTGAGGCCACCAGGCTCCTCTGTCCATGGGATTGTCCAGGCAAGAATACTGGAGTGGGTTGCCATTTTCTTCTCCAGGGGATCTTCCCCATGCAGAGATAAAGCCCACATCTCCAACATTGGCAGGCGGATTCTTTACCACTGTGCCACCAGGGAAGCCTGTGATTTTACTGTCATTTATTCGATGTAGTTGAAAAGTGAGAAATCGGATTGAAGGTTAATTCCTCACATCGTTTGTACATTCCACAAGGAACCTTAAAATGATCAGTGTTGAGGTTTGGCGCTATGAAGAAATAAGTTGTTCGCATGGTCTGTTTCTGTAGCCATGTGATTATGTCACTTTGTCTCTCCTAGTCTTTCAAAGATGCCTGCCGCATATTCTACCAAGCAGAGATGGAAGACCTGGACTTTGTCAGTGCTACGGAGGAGTCCAGGAAGCACATAAACACCTGGGTGGCTGAAAAGACAGAAGGTGAGGACATGTCAGTACTTCTGTTTGCGTAGTATTTGAATCAGTCTGATTACCCATCAGCTCCTTCCCAAGACCAGCAAACGTAAACAGGAATGGGTTTTTCTATGAATAACTGCAACTTTCAAAATGCACTCCTGAAATATAATCAGGAATCAATTTCTCTAGCTTTCCCCCCTCCTCATCAGTATTTGGTACACCTCTTCCAGAGCAAACACACTTTGATTTTTCGCTCGTGCAGTAAGTGTTCATCTAGTCTGCTTTTTCACATAGGGCGGAAGGGAAACTCTGGATGCGGGCTCCACCACCTGCCTGTCCAGCGGAGCTCATGCTCTGCGGGTCGCTGAGCATCACTGCAGGTCACTCGGTCAAGCCCCGGTCCACCTGCGGTTCTTCGTTCTCGTGCTCTCCAC